ACACACACACACACACATGCACGGACACGCACACAAAACACACACACACACACACACACACACACACACACACACACATTCACACCTTATTTATCAGTCCTTCGATTGCATCTTTCAGCTAGATGCAATCGCTCATGTTGTAGTTGTGGCTTTTGTATAAACAATATTATTTGAATTTATTCGTCTACGAGGACTCTCTGACTAGATATAGGTTCTTGATCCCAAATTTTTTGAACTCCATGTTTGCACATTCTTTCCAAATTGTCTCCCGTGAAGTGTTTAAGGAGTTTAAGCATTAAAACTGGAACAAGGTATGCACTCACTTTTCAAGAATATATACTTTCATCGAGAAGGGATTCAAACCAAGCCATTGTCGGTCCAGTCAAAGTTAATGCAAAGAGTTTCCACTTTAGAACTCCATATGCATGGTAGTAAGCTAGACGGTCATCTATATGTTCGACATGTTCGTCTGAATCCTTAGTCTCATCATACCTCTGGAGCTTTAACGACTTCTCTAGTGCTCTCAAAATCCTATTATCGAGTATGCAAGGATATATGAAGTTTCTCTTTGACTCTAGAACTTAAGCATCTTCTTGATATCTTTCTGTCCTCAGAAGGCGACAAGCTTTTGGAGGAGTATGAATACCTCTTCCCCTTTTTGGATCAAGGGAATGAGTCATGTGTCTATGATGTCGTTAATGACTTAGGGACTTCTAGAATCCTTATTGACGTGTCTCCACCTAGTTTGGTATCGGTTCAGGATCATTGCTTGATTCTTTCATGATGGCACTTCTAGAATGATATTATTCCTCAGAATATCATGTTGCAAGCTCTCTTTAATTCTGAATATCCTTTCTGCCTAAGCCTAAGAATTTTGTTACTGTACCATGTTATAAACACTAGTTAACATATATTGGCTCCCTATTAGAGTTTGACTTAACTTATCTTTACAAAAACAGTTTCTAATGTGAGGGTTCAAGTTTATATAAGTTCTTTAGAGGATTTATGTCTAACCAATATGGGACTTGGGATATTTCCATTACACTTCCTCACGCCTAACACTCTTTTGAGCTTGGTGCATAGATATAATTGGTGGGCGGCCCATGTTCCAATCGGTAGACTTTGATAGCATATTAGAGTTTTGCCTAACTCATCTTTAAACAACCGGCTTTTAAGGTGATGATTGTCACTCTATATAAATTCTTTAAAGGCTCTATGTTAGTTGAAATTCAGGAAGTATCTTCTGCTCAGGCATCATAGAAAGTTGTAGAGGTCTGAGTGAAGGTTCTCCTTAGTTGAATTGTTGAGCAGGTATGAGGAATGGAAGCCATTGGAATGCTCCTTGACTTGACATATGTTGTACAAGATATTAATGTCAATGAAAAGATAAGGAAGCTACCAGAACTTGGTCGTTCGTTCCTTGAGTTGGAGGAGGTGGATCTTTGACAGCCTCAGTAGCGACACCAACCAATTTCTGTAAGACGATGGAGCGAATAACTTTGGACGCCACCATATTTGATAGATCTGATGGAAAATCTGAAGGAAAAGAAGTTGAAATTCGAGAGAGGTGATTGGGAAATGAAAATATGCAATTCGAGTGAAAGAGATATTCTTTATAGAGGAAATTCAATTGAATCAGGAGAGATTTGATCATGGAAAACTGTAGGAATCAGAATTTGATTCTTACGTATGGCGACAATGTTCTGTAGTGGAACGAAAGTTGATCGGTATGTAAGGACGAATGGCTTGTTGTGATGGTTCTGAACTTCCCATGTAGTGGAAAGAATGTTGGCCTGCAAGATTGGCGCTCAAGCATTCAAGTAAGTATGAAAGTGAAAAATGGTGTACGAACAATAAAAGATTTGAATACTTGAGAAATGACGTGCTTCATTTCTTAAATAGGAGAAGTAATTGGCAACTTAATACATAAGGTAAGGCATAGATTGCGGCCAGCATCACATTAAACTGGACGGTTGGCAGGGTACTCACACGTCAAATTACGCTCAGCCGTCAGATTCATTTGGAAGAAGAATTTATTTGTTTTGCACTAAATGCCCCTTTGTTTTGCACTAAATACTAATTATTAACAAATTGTTTGATAATTTTGTGTATGAATAAACTGTGATTGGTTAAACGTTCAATAAGATATCTCTACAATTAATAGTTTAACTATTTAAATATTGTATCATTAAAGAATTAATACACTCTAGAAATTTTAGACAAACAATGAAGGTAATAATCACTGACACTCACTCTTCCAAGATGTTCTTAATTTTTACTTCCATTTCTTTGTTATACATTTTTTTATACATATTTATTAAATATATAGTTAATTACTATTAACTTAGTTTATGGTATATTGAGGTAGGAATTGTATATTCAAATAAATGGTATTCAGATCTTTTGCATGAAAGATAACTTAATGAAAGAATCTACTTTTTCTTCAATTTAGTTGTAAAGTATTACTCCATTCTATATTATATACAATTTTTTTTTAAATATATTAAATAGTTAATGTATTTTATTTATATATAAATTATATATATTAATTATTTAATATATTTAAAAAGTAAATTTTGTTTATAAAATAAATCGGAGGGAGTAGGTAAACATACTCATTCATGTTTTTGGGAGGGGTAAGCATGATAAATATATTTTTTTAATTCATGTAATTTTGAAGAAGAAATTGAAGTTTATAAGCAATCTTTTAATTTTGATGACCTAGGACTATATATCAAGTTTGCAACTCCATGAAAGGTGTAACTAACAAGTAAGCCTAAGGTTTTTTTTCTTCTATAATTATTATCACTTTAGATTTGCTCAAATGATGATTTAAATAACATGGTTTATTTCATCCTAAGTCCTAACATAATAGGTTAGAATGTAATGAATGCACCGAAGTTCATAGTTCAAGATTAAATATTATTATTTTATTGATTATGTTTATCAATCATATTTGTCAAAAATAATTTTTTATTTATAATTTTTTTATAATGCATATAAAAAAATTTAATCTACACTTGCACAGTAAAAATATACTTCACACCTTAAATTTTTTATTCATTTTTAATATTTTTTAACGACACTTTAATATATATATATATATATATATATATATATATATATATATATATATATATATATATATATATATATATATATATATATATATATATATATATATATATATATATATATATATATATATATATATATATATATATATATATATATATATATATATATATATATATATATATCATAAATTTTCCCTCAAACTGATTTCTCAGTAGCAAATTTATTATTTATTAATTAACTATCTATTAGTCTTAATTAATTACTAGCATGACAGGAGATATTATTTACTTGATCAATTGCATTTCACACTCACATGTTACATTTAGATCAATTGCATTTCACACTCACACGTTACATTTAACTGGTTGATACTTATTAAAATAAAAAACGCATTTATATTTCTTTATACTAAATCAAAATTCATTTGTTTTTTAATTAAATTATCTATTGAAAATTATAGCGTAATTGCCATTTATGTGGTAAATATTTTCTTTAATTTTAATTAAAAAATTCATTATAAATTAGTTTTAGTATTTTATTAATGTGTTTACTTATATTAGAAATTTGACTTAAAACTGAATTTTTTCATACTAAAATGACATTTAAGGAGTTTACAAATTTACTTACTTATTAATTAAATTATTTAGAGTGAATTACATACTAAAATGACATTAGATTAATTATATTCCACACATGGATAATATATATAAAAAAATCAGATTTTTTATTCTTTATTTACTAATTTATTTTTAATTAAATGATCTATATTATCAACTATAGTATAACTGACATTTTAATGTAATTATTTATTATGATTACAACAATTTGATGGATATATTAATTTTATGACAATTAAAAGCATATCTTTAACCATTATATATCATCTAAATTTAATTTTTGTAAATTCCTTTTTAAATATAAAATATATCTTATATTAAATAATATATTTCATAATTTACTAAATATATATTTTCTATAAAAAAAAATTAGACAACATTTTTGGTATTATATTTATGGATTTATGTATATAATTTTTTTTTTATCATTAACCTGATTTATTCATTGCTTCCGATTTGTTAAGTATTTATCAGTGTGACATTTAATTAAGATTATTTTCTTAAATAGTTATATTTATAAAAGTACAAATCTTCAAATATATTTGATTAGTGAGAACTTAGTTATTTGTTTACAAAATAAATTATTATTAGTTGTAGAAAAATTGATACTTAAGTGTGATTATTTTCTATTCAAGGTAGAATGATTAGACTACCCTTTATACTCTTTTAGTCATTATCTCGTTGCAAGAAAAGGTAGAATTATTAATTTTATGCTCACTAATTTTACTCTGATGTCCAATTTCATTATTCCTCCCCTTTCTAAATAAGTATATATACCATAATTAAATCTCACTAAAATTTTATAAAGATTTATTCCTTACCTAAAAAATCTTGACAAAGTAATCTAGTTTATTTAAAATCTATCAGTTTACTGTTTTCATGTAGACAATAAAAAGAGGTGATATACAAAGTTGAATTTGACAGCATTTGATAAAAGTGCCACCGATTCATTTCATTCGACAGGTTAACTTTAGCTTGGACAAGAAAACAAATATTGAATCTAATAAAATTGTAGACCTGCCATATGCCTGTAGCATGGCATATATAATGAAATGGTAGACCTGCCATATGCATGTAGCATGCCTATACTGCCGAATGCATGTTTGGCATATCTATCTAAATAAATCACAATGACCAATGTAACAATTTCATGGAAATAATGAAATAATAAAATGTAGAACTTTTTATAATCTCAAACAAACATGCAAATTCAAAGGATAGACAACAATAGTACAATGCATATGCATATTCACATACCAGAAAATTAATGTTCAATAACTAAAGTTTAACATGCTACGGTGTTCCTCACGGTTGCTCCAAGTCAACAACAATCCCTTCTGGCCGGGGCGGTTGACACGGACAAGGCATAGCTATAAACTTCGGCACTTCATCTCCTGGCATCAACACCGTGATGCTTTTTTCCGTCTCTTCCATCTCCAGTTCCTAAAAAACAAAAATGTTAATTCAAGTTCAAGTTGCAAATAATGTGTAATCAAAATGGTAAGAAATAAAATATTACCGAGAATTGAGGTATAAACTTGAAGGGTTCTGATTCCGTATGAGTATGTGATTGTGCAGCTTCATGAGCAGAGATAGATTGGTGAAATCTGCGATACTTTTCCCAGTGGTAGCAACATGAGAAGATACCACTTAAGATGAAGAAGGTGAACAAGAGAAGGGCAATGCCAAGTGGAAAACATATGGACGGTCGAGATCCGTTTAATACAAGTGGTGAAAGATCTTGGCCATCCATGGCTTAAAACTGGCTTTAATGTTGTGGTGTGAGATAGGAAAGAGTTGCAAGCAAAAGAGAGAGGATTGTTTTGTTGGTTGTGGGGAAATAAAGTAGGTGTGTGATATTTAAATACTTAGAGAGTGTAGAACAAGTTGAGGAAGTGCTTCTCAAATTAATATTTTAAAAGTATTTGTAAATTTAAAATATTTATATACTATTATTTGTAAGTCCTTATTTAAGAAATTAAAGTTATTTTTTTAGTTGAGTAGTCTTTTTTTTATATTTTGTTTAATAGTAAATTAATTATAAAATATGTATATGAAGATTTTCTTACTGATACTTCTAATTTTTAATATAAAAAATTATTTTTTTTTTTAAATTAATATATTTTGACTATAAATAGTTTAAATACACTAATTTTTCAATAAATAAAAAAATATATTTTTTTATTATATTAAAAACCAAAGGAAATATAATTTAATAAAAATAATATAAAATTATGTACAATAGATATTCTTATACACTCTTAAAGACCACTATCTCTATAGCATACTTGTAAATAAATTAAGAGACATATTTTTAAATAAGTTAAGAGATAAGTTAAGAGACATTAAATTTTCCAATATAAAATAAATCTTATTGATAAACATTATATTTGTTTTTTAATGCATCTTAGTGATTTTCAAGGAATAATTTTTTGTTCACTATCTGAACAAAAGAAACTTCAATTTGTCTAATGAATCTTTTTTAATTCTTTCTTTTATCTGATACTACTTCATCTTATGATGTAAATAATTTTTTTAAAAAATAAATTGAATGATTAATATATTTAATTTATATAAATCAGATATATTAATTATTATATATTAGATATATTAATTATTTAATTTATTAGAGTATAACAAATAGAGTTGTTCTACCAAATTATTAGAGTTAGAACCGAATGTCTTGTCCGGGAAACGGTACGGTGGATTAGTAGGGACGTTGCTTTTTATCTTTGCCGTGGAAGCGTATAGAGTTGTACAAAGATGTAAATATTGTAGTCATATTAATCATGATTTTAAAGAAAACTTTTCTTTATTGTGTCAAATAAAACTTTCTTCTTCTTATTATTATTAAAGTTGATTAGACTCATTTAAATCATATGAGAAAAAGTATTGACTTAAAATGTACTAGTATTTTAGTTTCTTTATTTGTTTTTTCAAAAGTGAAATTTTGAGTTGTCCATTTTAAAAACAAATTTTTTTTGTTTCATTCTCATATAATTTTAACATCAATTTTCTTAACATAATAATAATTAAATAATTTTTTTAAATAAAAATATTTCTAAAATAAAATATGAATAGTAAATCTATTCTTTTTTATAAGCAATAAAAATGTACCAGAAACATAACATATATGCAATATGAATACAAAATCAGAGCAAGACGTATTAATTAAGAAAAGCAAGCGGAGATACATTCATGTTCAATAAAATATTTTTAACTGATCTAATGCACATTGCTCCAAACCATTCCCACGACAAAGACTTAGCCATAAGAATAATTTTCGTAGCTCCTTGTAGTTGCCTATGAAAAGAGTCTTATTCTCGATTATCCAAATGGACCAAGCAGTTGCAAGTCAAAACAAGAATTCTCATCTCTTCTTTGTTCTTCCTTTCAAAAGAGCATCAAAATTCAAGAAATTATCCAAAGTTGAGTCACAACGAGACAAACTTCCAATGCATATCCACTCAACCATATGCCCATAAACTCTAACAGCCACGTGACACAAAAATAAAGATGGGTGTGCAATTATTTTGGACTCATGCAAATAGGGAAAATAAGATTGTGCGAGCCTGAAAGCACCCTTATTTATGCAAGCTCATCTCTTGTTTGAAGTCTTTGTAATAGCAGCCTCCAAGCAAAAACTTATATATTACTTGGCACACTAGAGCACCATAACAACTCGAGAGCTAAAGAGTTATATGTGTAACACCCCCATTCTATGCCCCCAAATAATACAATTAATCATTTTGGCATAAATTTAAAATTTCATCAGAGTACATTTGCAACATGGCATAAAAGGGAAATATCACATTATCATAAAAATTCCAACACATACAACACCTGCTCAACAGATATGCAACAACGGGATAACACTCACAAGAAATATTTAGAACAAAGGCGGAAATATCCGAATATTTCATAATTCACCAAACATGTATTCACATATACAGTTATCATTCATCATGTTTTACAAAACATATCAACAGCAGATACATACTCAGATGTATCACAAAAGAATCAAAATAAATCCTATCTACCCGGTGCTACATATCAGAGCCGACCGACCAAAAAGGGAAGAAGCCACGCTTCACAAAAATACCTCCAGCAATCTAATCTGCAATGCCTCGTAGAGCATTAAAAGAAACCACAGAAGGGTGAGAAACGATATCATAAAAACAACACATATAACATATATATACATAATATCCAATATACGTCTTTCGTATTCTCACCGCAACTCACCTCGTCATACCGTACATCGCAATGTATTCACGTTATCCATTTACAAATAGAACATCATGCATACACAATATGCGTCAACAATGTTTATATCGGTTCATAAACACACAAAACATACATATTCATATATTCACACATACATGTGTCTTCGAGCATACCAATCACGCCAATCATCAGCAATTCATATAAACATTTACAATTATGTTCATTCACCATACACCATGCAGGATGTCAACATGCAACTCATAGAGACCGACACACGACTCTATGCAGATGCAAATGCGGTACCGACTTATTTCAGCAGGTTCAATTGAAGAACCAAATAACCATCGCTCACACCCCACATGGGCACACGAGGTTCTGCAGATTCTACGCGGAATCAAAATAACCATCGTAACATACGAGGTTCTGCAAATCCACCAAGGGATCAATAATTAACCATCGCTCACACCCCACAAGGGCACACGAGGTTCTGCAGATTCACCGAGGAATCAATCGACACAAGAATGCATACCATGATGCTTCACATGCAACATGACTCATGACACTCTTGAAATGCACACATGTTTACAAACATATTCATGCATTCTACACATTCATTGCATATATTCATACAAACATAATAGATTTTTAATCAGGCTAAGCAATGCACATAATTGCCCAAATGGCCACAATTCATAATCTAGGATTCACGCCATACGGCTACCACAGCATATCACAAACCAGCATATAAGCTACTAAATCAAAGAAGGGTCGATCGCAACCGAAACCCCAAGCCACGACAGCACCACGCAACAGGGAAAATTCATCCTGCTACGTTCGCTACACGCTCGCCTAGCGAGCTGCTAGCGAGCGTTCGCTACCTCTTCGCCTAGCGAACTACTAGCGAGCAAGAACAGAGGCTACAGACCTCGTTCGCTACCCCGTTCGCCACAGCGAACCTCTAGCGAGCTCCTCGCTACTTCCTTCGCTTCCAGCGAGGGACATTAAAACCGTTCTGTCCCAAGTCTGGGACCATTCGCTGCGCACTCGCCTAGCGAACTACCAGCGACCACTCGCGACCTGCTCGCCTAGCGAACTGCTAGCGAGTGTCTGCGATTTCCACTTCTCCCCACTGTTCAGAATCCAAAACCACCGATAAAATCACCCGACGAACTCCAACTCATATCCAGTAGCCTTAGTCTAACATATATCGACTAATCTATGTCATCTAATCACGATTCTAACCGTTAGACAACGATTTCTATCGATTAAACCAAAATCAACCTAAAATGGAAAGTGTAGAAAAACTACCAACAATCCAAAACAATCCAACAAAATCATACATGATTATACGCATTGATAGAATAATAAAGTTTCACACCCTTACCCGATCAATCGAAAGCTTTGGTTATGATTTCTTGAAGTTCTAGGTTTTTCCTCTTCTTTCTCTCCTCTTTCTCTTCTCTTCCTCTTCTCTTCTTTTCTTTCCTTTGTTTTTCTATCCCCCTTACTAAATTTCTCTTTTTCTCTCATATACTCATATTCTCTTTTCTTTCCTCTCAAATTCTTTCCACACACTAATTAATCAATTCTCATAAAATACCCACTTAACATAATTACTAATGCCCAAAATACCCTCTGGTCTATTTTTACCCGAAACTCTCAAAGTAGGCAAAAATAGCACAATATGCACAAATAACATATTAAACACACAATTCCACATTTAAAATAATAATTCACTCAATTAAATCAGAAAGGACTCAAAATAAAGGAAATTCAGAATCGGGGCGTTACAACCCTCCCCCACTTAGGAATTTCCGTCCTCGAAAATATTACCTGATTCGAACAGCTCAGGATGCGACTCACGCATCTTACTCTCTAATTCCCAAGTCATATTGCCTTCCGCAACACCTCCCCATGCTACTTTTACAAGCGAAATATCCTTGCCTCTTAGGTTCTTAACTTCGCGATCCAAAATCATAACCGGTAAAACCTCAACCGTAAGATTATCTCTTACCTCCACCTCATCCATAGGAATCACATGTGACGGATCCGAAACATACTTCCGAAGTTGCGAAACATGGAACACATCATGAAAATTCGAAAGACTCGGAGGCAACGCCACACGATAAGCCACCGTACCAACTCGTGCAATAATTTGATACGGACCAATAAAACGAGAAGTCAACTTCTTCGACTTCAAAGCGCGACCCATACCCGTAACCGGTGTAACTCTCAAAAACACATGGTCACCTTCTTGAAATTCAAGATCCTTCCTTCTCTTGTCATGATAACTCTTTTGCCTATTCTGGGAAGCTTTCATCTTCTCCCGAATAAACTTCACCTTCTCCGTCGTTTGTTGTACCATTTCCGGTCCAACTACCGATCTCTCTCCGGTTTCATGCCAACACAAAGGTGTTCGACATCTCCGACCATACAAAGCCTCAAATGGTGCCATACCAATACTTGCATGAAAACTGTTGTTGTAAGTGAATTCAATCAATGCCAAAAAGCTATCCCAAATACCAC